AGAATGCATGAAGCTCTGGGTTTAATTCCTCAGTGCCACATAAACAGAAAAGGGTGGAAGTGGTGTTGTGACTCAAGTGGTAGAGTGCTAGTCTTGAGCAAAAGCAGCTCAGGGACAGCGCCCAGGCTCTGAGTTCAAGCCCCAGGACTGGCAAAAAAAAGAAGAAGAAGAAAAAAAAAAAGACTAAAAGCAAGCTGCCTTTAAAAATAAACCAGTTTCTGGCAATGGCTCTCTGTATGTAACACACAGGCCTCAGAGTCTATCAGACCTGATCCTGCTCCAAAATCCAAGAACTGTGTGATCCTGGCTTGAACTCTTTGAGTCTGTTTTCTGTATCATAAATAAAAGCAACACAACCCTCACTTCTAAGGCCTGCTGACAAGACTAAATGATGTAAAAAACAGCATCTGGCATTGTGTTTAGCACATTGACATAGCAAGTGGCAGTATGTCTTTCCAGACCTTTTCCAAAAACATCCTGACAGACTGGGGGGTCGGTGGCTCACGCCTGTAATCTTAGCCACTTAGGAGGCTGAGATCTGAAGATCGGGTTCAAAGCCAGCCTGGGCAGGAAACTCAGTGAAACTCTTATCTCCAATAAACCACTCAGAAAACCAGAGGTGGCGCTGTGGCTCAAGTGTTAGAGCGCTCACCTTGAGCTGAAGAGCTGAAAGACAGCGCCCAGGCCCAGAGTTCAAGCTCCAAGACTGACAAAAAACAAAACAAAACAAAACAAAAAAAACCAACAACAACCAAAAACATCCTGACCATCTCAATGAGGCAAAAGAAAAAAACACATACCCCTGTATCCCTCAGGTTTGTTTGTAGAACAGGCCCAGAAGAGCATCCTAGTGTTTATCAGTGAAATAACTTCAGGTGCACAGAGTGTATTGCTGTGGAAAGGGATGAAAACAATGTAAGAACAACTTGGTCACTACAAACCATGAGGAGAAAGTCAGATGAGGTCTCATGACTTACCGACAGAACTCATCCGAGTCCTGGTGGTCATCTCCATGAAGATAAACCAGGAGAAAGCGAAGCTCTCGCTTAGCATCATTGAGTGCCTATGGGAGACACAAGGTCACTGGTGATTATAAAGACCATTCTTGAAGCTTAGGCTAATAGTCATCATTAATATACCTATGTATTAATGACCAAAAAGAAATGAAAAGGTAAGCAAGAGTACAGACACTGGGATATTGAAACCTTGGCACCCGGGTGCTTTTTTCTTTTCCCCTATAGAAAATCTAGGCTAATAAGCTTCAACAAAAAAGTTTAGTGTTGTTAGGATCTAAATGCTGTCAGGAACGTTAAGCACACAAGCTGACACATACAGGTTCCTCAACAAGCCACACAAAAGTGAGCTATTCCCACAGAAGAAAGAACGCTAAAAGCAGGAGAATCTGACCATGTGGAAAGGGAACTGAGAATTTTGCCACTTCACAGCTACCAAATTCTGACTTTAAAATATAAAGAACTGCATAGATGAGGCAGATCCCCCACAGCGAGCAGGAATGGGATCAAAGCCATGTTGAGGAGCCCCGTGTTTAGACCGAAGACAAAGCTAGCGTCCAAGCCTCTTGTGTAGGCTTGTGCACAGGAGTATCCTGAGCGCCTTCCACTTTATTTTACTGTTGGTCATGGGGCTTGAACTCTGGGCCTGGGCGCTGTCCCTCAGCTCTTCAGCTCAAGGCGAGCACTCTAGCATTTTGAGCCACAACACCACTTCTGATTTTCTGGTGGTTCATTGGAGATCAGAGTCTCACGGACTTTCCTGCCCGGGCTGGCTTTGAACCGCGATCCTCAGATCTCAGCCTCCTTAAATAGCTAGGATGACAGGCGTGAGCCACCAGTGCCCAGCTGTGCTTTCCGCTTTATAATTAGTGTTCCCTCAATGGCCAGCGGTGGCTGACCCTCAGGGTCATGGTGGAGGGTAGAGAGAAGTCCTCCTCTCTTCATCCCTAGGTCTCCAGCATTGAGCACATGCCTTATTGACACACAGAGCTATGTGATATTTCTTAACTGGGGTGGCAGCAGCTAGCAGGAGACAGAAATACTGGATTTGGGCAGGAGCAAGGGTTAGCTCCCCCGAATCCTTGCCCAGGTAAGATTTGGGAATCCTGAAGCTTCTAGGATTCCACCCTTTCAGCTATGCTCACAGTGTTAATTCCTTATTTTTCTCTGGCAATTTGATATGCTTGCAAACCAGAGACCTGTAAGTGTTCTTCGCCTGCTGAGGCTTACATTGAATGAGTCTATGACCTCTATGTGCCATTCAGTTCTGGGATGGATCAAATCAGATTGAGGCTCTGTCTTCACCACATGTGCGGCCTGATCAAGGAAGTTAAGACGAACACAAACAAGCATAAGGAGGGAAGTGAAACTGCTACAAACAAAAAAAAAACCAGGAGGGAAGAACAGGAAAAGACAAAATGGGGTTTCCAATTCAAGAAGGGCACATAATCAGAATGGCTGGAAGAGGGAATGAAGGACGTGGGCTCGTTAAAGAATGGGCAAAGTTCTCACCGGGCAAAATGGGGAAGAAAGGCATTCCAGGGGGAGGGACACACACAAGCCAAGGCTCTGAGGTAGGAAGGGAGCTAGAACCAAGAGTGAAGGAACCAAGTGGGCAGAACAGAACTTAGAGGAAGACTGGCAGTACAGCAAGGAGAGTCTGGCCTCTTGTTCATTGCTGTAAGCAGTGAAGAGCTAAGCACGGTTTTGAGTAAAAGAATGACAGCGATGAGGGCTAGCGTCTGCTCTTCTTTGAGGACAGACTCAGATTGTTAAGTTGGCATCTATATGGTTCGTGGCACTGACCTGGCTGTACGTTCCCTGGTAGAAGACAGGGTGTGCCCTCCCATATTTCTCTTCAAAAGAGTGCATAAATGAAACAATGTCCCCAACGGGGTCAGTGACCCGGCTGCGAGGGTCAGGCCGTATAAAACGAAGAGCAAACCTGGGGAGGAAGGAATAAATATCACATGAATCGGCTTACTGTAGTGCATATGGAGCGGGCCAGTTTGTATATACAGGCGCTGTCAACAGAGCCCATGCGACAGGGCCGCAAAGAGCCAGACTGTGTAGTGGATCATCGAGCCTGAGAGCAAAGTCTGGCTTAAAGAGCCACAAAGCTCCATGGGCTGCTCCAGAAGAACGCAAACTACTAGGATTATAAATTCCAACACTGGCCTACACAAATCCTCAAGTCTTTCCGCAGAAAAACTGAGGGCCAGAAGGGTTGGGAATGGAAGATTATGGGCAGACACTAGCCAATTGTGAATATTCTAAATTAATTGATTAAATGTCTTTTGTGTGTATGTGAACACTGGGTCTTCAACTCAGGGCCTGTACACTGTCCCTGAGCATTTTTTTTTTTTTAATTTGTTCAAGGCTAGCACTCCACCACTTGAGCCATAGCTCCATTCTGGCTTGTTGGTGGGTTAACAGGTAAGAGTCTCATGGACTGTCCTGCCAGGGCTGGCTTTGAAACATGATCCTCAGATTTCAGCCTCTAGAGTAGCTAGGATTTCTGGCATGAGCCCCCAGTGCCTGGTCTTGTAAACTTAAAACATCTGGTACCTTAGTCACTCGCCATACTGTAGCAAGTGCTCCACAGTAATTTCCACGGTGGCAACATGGAGCAGAACCTGTCTGTCCTCATAGGAAGTACTACTGGCCAGGGCCGCCCCACAGCACAGATCTATTTCTGGAAGTTCCTCTCACTCCCCTGTCTGACTTCTTGAGATTTTCAATGTTCAGTTCATGCTCCCAAAGTATTCAAATTATGAATAGGGGCACTTCACACACAAATTTATAATCACAAGTTACTTGTTCTTTCAAGTGGCAGGTAAGTTTTGCTTTCTAGCCAAGCATCAGTGGCTCAAGCCTGTCATCCTGGCTACTCAGGAGGCTGAGACCTGAGGATCACGGTTTGAAGCCAGCCTGGGCAGAAAAGTCTGTGAGGCTCTTATCTCCAATGAACCCCCAGAAAACCAGAAGTGGTGCTGTGGCTCAAAGTGGTAGAGAATTAGCTTTGAGCAAAAAAGCTTAAGGAGGGGCTGGGAAGATGGCTCAGTGGTAGAGCGCTAGCCTTGCATGCCTGAGGCCCTGGGTTCAATTCCTCAGTACCACATAAGCAAAAAGAAAAAAGCCGGAAGTGGTGCTGTGGCTCAAGTGGTAGAGCACTAGCCTTGAGCTGAAGAGCTGAGGGACAGCGCCCAGGCCCAGAGTTCAGGCCCCACGACCGGACCAAAAAAAAAAAAAAAAAAAGCTTAAGGACAGAGAGCACCCAGGCCCTGAATTCAAATTCCACAATTGAAAAATAATTTATTTTTGATGGCTGACTGCATGAATGGAGGAAGTTAAAAACAGACTGAGGAGATACTTGGCAGGTTTGGAGAACCATTAGCTACTCCAAAGTTGACATAGATTCCTAGCAAGCTCACCCTACCCTGTGTGTCCAGCATCATCCATTTCTTTATTACGCTTTGGGTTTCCCCAGAGGGCAAGGGGGTAGAGGCCAATGTGCTACAGAACATGGAACATGTTGCCTGATGATACAGCTACATTAAAATTAGTAACACATGCCATGCATAACTTCCCAAGGAAAGCAAACAGAATTCATTTACTTGAAGACATCTCAGCACAGAAAGGGTAAATAAACCAGTATACTTTCTCTGCTAAATCTTGAGCCAATTCTTCACAAATTCCCCATGAATAGACAATTACACTTGAATTTCTCCTGAGTAATAATCAACCCCAATTCATTGACACAAACATCCAGAGCAAATTAACACAAAATACAAGAAGTTATATGCATGGGAAGGTAGTTAGCAATTCCTGAAAAGACCAATATTTTGACTACCTTCTCTGACATTAACTATGTCAGAATTTTCTCTTTAACTTTAGGAAGTAGACAAAAACTTTTAACGTTTGTTTCTAACTGCAGTATATTCCTATGATCAGCGTCATCTGAGACAGAGAGGTCAAATTAGACTTCACTATGGTTTTAAAGGTTCTGATGTGCCCAGTAGTAAATAAAACATGGATGGGAAGAGTACGGAGCAGGTCACTGCGATGTGGCTTTGCTGAAGCCAGGAAGCCACTAAGCAGGCAGTCACCTAAAACAACCCAGGAGCAAGGCAATTCCTCAGGAAGACCTAGCTAGGTCTTCTCTGTACAACCCAAAAAGGCACCCCAGAATCTGCAAGGATTGTACACAAGTTGCACTGTATGCAAGGTACAGATCACATGTCATGTCAAGCTCTATCTGCTAGCCTAGATGCCTGAAACATTTTAGTTTCCCAAAAAGCTGAAGTGTAGCTCTAGATAGGACACCTCAAGTCTGATCTGCCAGGAAGTCAGGTTCCACTCAGTATTTCCTAGTCTTGGACCCTGTAGATCCAATGAGGAGTTCTTCTTTGAATGGTACACGGAGGAGCTGGGTTCCAGCACCAGCAACCAATGGGTTGCCAGGGCAAAGGGAAATATGCAAAACAGTGTCCATGTGACTACAATGGGAGAAACCTAGAGCTAAGTGGGTAACCTCACAGCAAGAGACTGAGTTGGGATTCTGAGTGGTCAGAGAGCGAAGAGTATCAGTTCCTGAAGCATGAGGTTAGAAGAGGGTGGTTAGAAACCAAAGGGAGTGGAGATTAACTACCTAGGACAGGGCCAGGGGGCCTTTCCCTGCCAAGGGCTAATTGGTGCATGATGTTAGCTGCTACTGAGGTTTGTCTTGCTATGGAAAAACTCTTGGATTTGCTGGATATCCAGTCTTACCTGCAGTTGCACTGAGGATTCCCCACCCCTGAACTAAGGGGTGGAGAGGCAATACATATGGTGGGGGGAATAGTGGGGAGACCAATGCATGTGGGCAGATTGATTTTTTTGGGGGGGGGTTGAATTAGGAGGAGCCCTACAACTTGAGCTACATGTCCAGCCCTGGGTCTTTTGGTGGTTGTTTTTTGCACTGGTCCTGGGGCTTGACCTCAGGGCCTAAGAGCTATCCCTGAGCCTTTTTGTTTCAGGCTAGCACTCTACCACTTGAGCCACAGTTCCAATTTGGGAATTTTTTGGGGGGCAGGGGGTATTAACTGGGGATAAGAGTCTTAGGACTTTCCCTGCCCTGGCTGGTTTCAAACTGTAATCCGCAGATTTCAGCTTCCTGAATAGTTAGGATTCCAGGTACTAGCCACTGGTGCCCAGCTTGTCTAGTCCTTGTATTTCTGAGATAGGGTCTCACTTTTTGCCTAAGCCAGCAGACTGCGATCCTCTTACGGATGTTCCTACCACAGCTGGGATGACAGGTGGGCATCACCATGTCCAGGCTACTGGCCGAAATGGGATGTCACAAACACTTTGCTTGAGCTGACCTTGAACCATGATCCTCACCAGGTCCATCTCCTAAGCAGCTGAGATTACAATGACCGGCATGGATTGATAGTATATTTGCAAATAAGCAAGATTAATTTAAAAACAATTTCATTTATAAAACCTGCCACTCTGCTTGAACAATTTAAATTATTTTTCATACTATAGTAAAAGACAGTACAGGAAGAATATTCAATATGATGACAAATTGGCAAGGCAAAACTAGTAGAATATTAAAAATTATTCTGGTTATGTTTCAGCTCCAAAGTCTACTCTTGCTATTGATACATAAATGCAGAGGTACATACCTAAATATATCAAGTATCGTGTAATAGGTAAACCGGAATGGAAGCATTATCAAGTAATAACCCCATCCAAGCAGCCCCTGAAATTCCAAAAAAAAAGTTAGAGACCCCATTTTCTCAATCTCTAATACTTCACAAAGTAACTAGTTCAGCTTTTATTCAGGCTTTTGCATTCTTTCCTATGATTTCTCCCTCTGATCAACAGTTCCCCTCTTCCTGGACACTTCAACCTTAAATGTTCTTATTGCCTTCAATATCATTTCATCTAATATTATCTTTTTTCCCCCTTTCACATCATTTGTGTTAAATCTCCTTTGACACTTTTGCTGCAGCTACTTCTATTCATTGTTAAGTTCAATTGCAAGTTCATCTCCCCAAATAATGAACATGCATCCTTTTCTTTTTAGCCTTACACATTAAAATACTACACACATAGAAATAGCAAGAAAGGTAACCATTAATATTACCTTGGACAATTTTGTATAAAAGCAGTAAATATACTATATAGCAGCTAATCTTACTAGAAACACACATTATTAACACTTACTAAATCATTTGTACTTAGGCTCTCTGATTTCCACAGTGCCACTTAGATGTCATATTGTGTTAACCTGAGACCTCTCTGTAGCCATGACGAGGAGCTCTAGAAAGCTCCAGGAAGCTGACATCAGGGCCGCAAACACTAAGTCAAACCCAAAAGCAAGTACCAGGTACCTACAGAAGCCCTCCCTGGGTTATAGACCTGCTCCAGAAATCTGTAGCTTTTTTTACTTCAGAAAACCCCAAACAATTGTAGCAGCCCTTCTGGTCCTTGACCTTCAGTTCCAGTTACCCACAGCCAATCAAAAGCCTGATCATACTCAATGGAAAATTCCCAATATAAACAATTCATGAGTTTTAAATCCACACTGTGCTGAGCAGTATGCTGAAATCTGTACCATCCTGCTTCTTTCTTTCCAGGATGTCCAGCATTCCCTCCAAGATAGCTGCTCAGTGGTCACAATGCGACAGTGGCTATTTTAATTATCAGTACCCTATTGGTGCTTAAGTAACCTACTAAGTAATAATGGACCCAGGAAATAAGAACGATGATGATATTGGCAATTATAAGATGCAACGAAAAGTCCTTTAAGTGAAAAAAAGGAAAGTTCTCACCTTAAGGAAAAAAAAAAATTATGCTGAAGTTGCTAAGATCTACAAGAAGAACAATCTTTTATTCATGAGATCATGAGGAAGAAAAAAGAAATGTATGCTGGTTTTCCTGCTGCACCTCAAACTGTGAAAGTTGCAGCCAGGGTACATACATGGCAAGCTCTTGCTTAGGAGGGAAAGGCAGCCAAGGTTTGGCACCACTGGCAGCTTCAGCCATTAGCGGGATATCAGAACATAGGCTCCAAAAACAAAGGTGGATTACTGTACTTAAAACTCCATTTTTAATGAATTATGTAATTGGGTTATTTATTTGGAGAAGGGATCTCACTACGTTGGATTCAAACGACTGACTGTCCAGCCTGAGCTTTAACTCCATTTTTCAAATATCAAATACTCCACACACAAAAAAAAGCAAGATGGGGGGCTGGGAAGGTGACTCAGTGGTAGAGCGCATGCCTTGCATGCCAGAGGCCCTGGGTTTGATTCCTCAGCACCACATAAGCAAAAAGAAAAAAGCCGGAGGTGGCGCTGTGGCTCAAGTGGTGGAGGGCTAGCCTTGAGCTGAAGAGCTGAGGGACAGCGCCCAGGCCCAGAGTTCAGGCCCCATGACCGGACCCAAAAAA